AGAGTTAAAAACCAGTTGCGAACATTTAACTTGAAATCCTTTTGCTTTGAGCGGCCCTATACCTTAATTATGTTTTTTTCATCAAGATAAATGGTTGAACATTCCATTTTATCACTACCAAAAATAGTCATTTCACTTCCGTAATTTTACCAAATGTTTCGTTATTGACAATTTTAGCTAGTAATTTTAAGCAGAACTCAAAAACAGTAGCCAGTACATTTACAGCTTTGAACAGTTGTACACACATAAATTCATATTTCCATTAAACACAAAGAAGTTTACTTAACTGAAAACGTATGTGTTTTAGTAGTGACAATTCTTAATGGTACACACTGATTTCCAGACTTTGGGACACATTTACTTCAAAACAATGGGATCGTACTGCTCACCATGTGGCCATGAGGGACAGGGATGCAGTCTCACTTCCTGCTCTAAAAAGCAGTGTGGCTAAAATAATGCTCCACAGATGAACCAAAACGCTTTGTGTTTCGTTAGTGACATGAAAACGTGAGACAGCATTAATTATTTTTTCTTTTAAATTTAAAAATTAAACTCATGATAAATCTAAATCTTTCAGCTTCACATTTATTTCATACATACATACATACATCATCTAGACCGCTTATCCCTCTGGGTCGAGGTGGGGTGCCGGAGCCCATCCCACATTTATTTCAGTGAAATAAATAAAAAAAAGATCTAAAAGAACAGAAAAAAATGTAAGCATCATTTTTACAATTAGAAATTTAGGGCTTAGGGTTTGGGCCAGACACCTCTCAATAGAAAGTGCCCTATAAATGATGATCTTGTATATATTTAACATAGTATATTATATAGTCCTAAGTCTGATGCTGGAACATCAATGAAAGCTAATTTGTCTGAGGGAGTTCAGACCTTTGTATACGACTATAAGTAGTTGAAAAATATCAGCCCAAAATAAAAAATCCCCACATCGTTGCATCTCTTGAACATTTTAACTTTTTTTGATGCTATTGTGCTTAACACACCTTAACCATGCTGAAGTCACTGTAATGCATAGCCTCTTATGGCTGATTACTTAAGTTTGCTCACTACATCATGTTTAAACACTATCTGTTGTACAAAAATAAGGGTTTGAATATACAGCAGTATGTCGTCCGCAGTGGGATATAGACAGACTCGAGTTCTTGGCCCCAAATCACAGACTTTGACCAATGTTTGCTTCTTCAATTAACAAGCATAAACCTCAACCATTACATCTCTGCCTTCAACAACAACATTTCCTGAAATCACATTGCCGGAGAGAACACAAACCAGCAGACTGTAAAACACAAGACCTTTCATTTGAGATTATATTGGCAGGACAACTCGAGCGTGAAAAGCTAGAGCTAAGTATGGCCCTGCAGTATTTTTTGTATAATGTGTGAAGAAATGTTTGCACATTGGCTGTGGACAGAAAGGCTTGTTTCAAAACTGTGATGGCCACACTATGAACACTTGAAGCCAGTGGATTTATGACATTTACATAGTTCAGACTTAAAAGGGAATTCCACAGACTTTTCAAAATTTCTGCATAGTTCAATAATTGAGATGTAATCAAAGTTATTCAGAATGGTTTGACGTGAAATGGTTAATTGTAATGAAATACACAGACTCTGACTTCTTTACAGTGGTGATGATAGGAACCAGGGGTTGCCATGTCTACAATACAATACACTAAATGGACAAAAGTATTGGGATATACCTCTTAATTGCTGAATTCAGTTGTTTCATTAAGTCCCATTGCCACCGGTGTATAAAATCTAGCACCTAGCCATGCAGTCTGCCATTACAAATATTTGTGATAGAATGGGTTGCCCCAAAAAGCTCACTGAATCCGTGTGTGGTACTGCACACTGCTACCGTTGCAACAAGTCAGTTTGCTAAATTTCTTTTTCCTAGATATTTTACGTGAAGGCGTTTAAGAACCACCACAACTCAGCCACGAAGTGTCAGACTACCCAGAGCTGGGTCACTGAGTGCTAAGGCACTCAGCTCTGCAGCTCTGCTGACTCAATACCTTCTCTGGCATTAACATCAGCACAAAAACTTAGCGCCGGGAGCTTCATGGCTTGGGTTTCCATGGTCAAGCAGCTGCATGCAAGCCTTAAATTACTAAGCACAATGGCAAGTGTCGGATGAAATGGTGTAAAGCACAGTCACTGGAGTCTGGAGCAGTGGAAACATATTCTGTGGAGTGATGAATCACACTTCTCTATCTGGCCTGATGGACGAGTCTGGGTTTGGTGAATGCCAGGAGACCATTACCTGCCTAACTGCATTGTGCCAGCTGTAAAGTTTGGTGGAAGAGGGATAATGTTATGGGGTTGTTTTTCAGGGATTGGCCTAGGACCCTTAGTTCCAGAGAAGGGAAATCTTAATACTTCCGCATAACAAGACATTTTAGAAAATTCTATGCTTCCAACTTTGTGGGAACAGTTTGGGGAAGGGCCTTTTCTGTTCCAGCATGACAAGGTCCATAAAGGCATGGTTGGGTGAGTGTGGCGCAGAAGAATTTGACTGGCCTGCATAGAGCGCTGACCTCAACCCTATCCAACACCTTTGGGATGAACTAGAATGGAGACTGTGAGCCAGGCCCTCTCATTCAACATCAGTGTCTGACCTCACAAATGCTCTTCACTCCAAGATCTTGTAGAAAGCTTCCCAAAAGAGTGGAAGCTGTTACAGCTGCAAAGGAGGGACCAACTCCATATTAATGCCTATGGATTTAGAATGGGATGCCAAAAAAGCTCCTGTTGGTGTAATGCGTAGGTGTCCCAATACTTTTGTCCATATAGTGTATTATTTATTGTCTAAAATCAGAATCAGAATCAAGCTTTATTGAGTTCACAGTGCACAGTATGTGACAAACATTTTACATGTAGTAAATAAATAATAATAAAAGAAAATCTAAAAGATATGTAACAAATCTGTAACAACATCTTATAGATAGGTAAGACAAAGATCACTTTGTACCAGAATGATATGAAGAGAATAGAGAAGGCAAGGAACTGCTCATGATTCAAGGCAAACCACCTCGTTTGTTAAGCATGGTGGAGGTAGTGTTATGATGTGGGCATGTATGGCTGCCAGTGTAACTGGTTCCATTGAATTTTTCAATGATGTGACTGCTGACAAAAGCAGCAGAGTAGATTCAGATGTGTAAAGGGCTATGTTACCTGCTCAGATTCAGCCAAATGCTTTAAATCTCCTTGGATAGTATTTCATAGAGCAGCAAACAACTTAAAGCGTACTGCAAAAGCAATCTAAGACTTTTTAAAGCAAAAAAAAAAGGAATGTTCTAAAATGCCATGTCAATCCAATTGAGCATGCATGACTTACTCAGGGCAACAGCATCTGCTGTTGTCTGTTGGCTCCAGACCTCAGGCAGTCTTCGAATGCAAAGAATTTGCAAACATGTATTAAAAACTACGTTGTCCAATTACTATGCGTGGTTGTAATGTTTACACCATTCACCCAACCAATTTGGAAAAAGAAAACTGACTTATGCACGTAGCATCCTCTGTAACAGGAACATTTAAATGTCATTTAGGGCCAAACAAACAGAGGCTTTGAGGAGAAAGGGTGTGCTGTGCTCTCTGAAGAGAATCCTTTAATCTGTGTCCCATGACCCGAACTCTGAGAACCAAGTCCATGAGAGGCAGCTAAATGCTCACAAAGCTCAGCTCCCATCTCAGTGCAGCTCAAGTGCTCTGCTATTTCTGAAAGCTGGCACACAACACACCCTTTTCTTGTCAGCAGAACACCGTGGACAGAAAAAGCAAACCCTCAGTTGAAATGAAATTCAACTACATTTACAGCTACTTTGTACAAACTTGATCTTACAGCCTTATTTGGCAGCCATTTAAATAAGGCTTGTCTCCATACTGCATAGTATGTAATAAGAGAGGTATTACAAGACATACCACACAATACCCATCAGTTCAAATATGATAAATCAAATACACACTAAATTGAAAAGTTATAAACTGACTGTTTAGCACGAGTCATGCTATGGCATTCTGGTATACATTTAACAGCAGCATGAAAAGACAGCACGGGTGTCCTTACCACTCATTGTTCACTAGGATTGTAACAATACAGTGCAGCACTCTGTAGAATTGTGACTAGCATGCTAGCTCATGGATAGAGCATTAGGTGTAGACACTGTACAGTATCTTCCATTTAATATATATCATACTTTTATAATCTTGAATGCTCTAGTAAACAGACTGAAAACATCAAAATGAACAATTTTAGCCACTCCTTATTTTAAGACTATCAAATAATTAATTTTGTGATTTGTTACACTCCAATATTGACAAAACACATCATCAGCCAAGATAAACAGCCAGATCAGTTGGAGCAAAAAAAATTGAGTCAGCATTCCTAAAATACACCCATATTCACAAAACACACTGCACATTGACATTGATATTTTATAAAACTGCCCTGAATAATCTGTAGTGTGTGTAACTGGTCATATAAAGGAATCATACCATCAGAAAGGCATCAAGACTTCTCACAGATCAAGTTTATTTTTCAAAATAAATAAGTAATAACTCAGCACAATGAAATACATTTATTGGAGAATGACTTGCATAACATTTAAACATGGCAGTCCATACAAATGATGGCTTGAGAAACTCGAGACCGTTGACACATCCTCAGCTGTCCAACTGCCTCTGTTGGAGGGGGAAGGAAAAAAAAATAAAAAATTACTCAGCATCACAAAGAGGGTACAAAGCACCAAAAGAACCTTCCCAATATTTTACCCATATTTGGTCACATCACCACAAAAGTGGAATATTTAAGTAACAAAACATGTTATGATCACCTGTGGAAGTCATCTACAGCAGCATTTCTGTAATTTTTCTCCTGGTGACACACAGTATGGCAATTTCACCATTCCCTGCCTCAAACTACCTGATCCAGCCCATGAACAAACATCCCAAGCACTTTAAATACAATACTGGTTTAAAATATTAAATTCCACCATAAGTGCCACGTTGCTGTGACAATAGTGCATTCTACCAAAATACTAAAATAAAATGCTGCTATCATAAGCAAACAATCTGTGTAGCTTAGGGCACAACCAAGCCATGTAAGATTTACCACATTTTTGTAAAGCATTAGTTAAAGCAACTGTTGCAGAAGCCTGCAGTAAGCAGCCATTGTTACTTGCCAACTGGGTCAGCAGAATTATGAAATATAACACAGACAGCTACAAATCTAAGGGATTTTTTCCCCTCCCCACTGGGCAGCATGGGACAGTAGTTACAAATCCACACATTTTACAGATACACAGATCACGCATTGTCACTACCATGGCCAAGTGAACTGTATCGTAAAAATGAGTTCAGTTACTTCTCACTAGGGTATGAAGTGTGCAAATCCAGAATTTAAGGGTGGAAATGGTAAATCACACGAAATGGCATGAACCATTCATTGGTCAAATGCAATGGTCACAGAACAGTTGTGCAGTGAGTCACTGAAGTCAGGCCCTTTTTAGAGAAAAACAAAAATCCAGCTAGCCAGAACTGCTCTTGACTCATTAGAGAAACCAAACCAAAGGCTTTTTTTTTTTAATAATAAAAAAAAAACTATAATAATAATAATTTACTGTTAATGCAAGAGTCACATGAGAAATCGTGACTAGACAAGTTAAAAAGTTCTGTTATGTGAAGGGAAACCGACAGGCACTCAGTACACATAGCCCTGAGTAATTGAACATGATCGTGTTGCATAATAAGCAGTTTATTTCCAAATCGGAGGTCTCAAGGAGACCATTTCACCAAAATGTTATGTCGCCCTTAAGAAAGCAGGCATCTCAATGATCAAAACCTGCATCATTTCCTGCAGGGCACTGATATAGGATCACTGCGTTAAGGATCGCCAGTGGTAGCATGTGGCTGACCCCCTTTGAATATGATCCATATGAGAAATGTAGGGCCTCTCACCTTAGTTCACCACTGGAGGGTAGAGGTCCTCAATCCAATCCACGGTCCTAATCAACATCCAAAAGTTTACATTAACACATCAAAAGTATAACATTTAGACCACTACGGTGTTCTAAAGTGTTCCCAGCAGACCACAACAGTAAAAACTGAAGTGGACCACTGGGATGGGCTTTGATTTTTGGTCATGTCCACAGCAAGTAAGGAACAACACCTCCCTAAAGCCTTGGTATATGACCAGCCAACATAATGACCACAGAAGTGCAGAGTCAGCTATAAAGACTCACCTGTTCTCCTTTCTTGAATCTTTTCTCTCTGACTCCTCTCAAGCTGAACCTGAAGATGACAATTATAGGTCAGGACTACAAATCCATTTAAACACTTGCTACTCAGACTAAAGTGGGCAAATAGCAATGTGGTGTTATGTTCTGGCCTAACATAGGGTGGGGCATGTGGCTGAATTCTGACAGCGTGCCACAGGCAGTCTCACATACCACACATGCCACCACTATAGCCAGTCAGCAAGGCAGCTGACGAAGGTGAGGAACAGCATCATAAAACAGCACTGCCCGACAATCATGCCAGATGACATCAGATGCAAAATTAATCTAGGATTTAAGTTGTCCAAGTAATTTCTTGTGTCTCATTAACACGAAGAAGGCGACCACCTAAACAACTGATTTCCTATTTGGCAGCATGTGTGGATGCCTTAATGAATTTATAGATCAGTTGGAGCCATCACTCACGAATGAAACTGTTTTCAATGTTAATGACATGCATAAGGGCGCCCCATGTCTTAGATTTATCTTTACATTTAATTTTTTTATCTGAAGTCCATTTAACATGCGGTTACGATGTAGACAATTTGTTAACCATTTTCCATCCACTCTTTGGGCCTTAGAATTAAACTAATTAGATTTGATTAACATTACTATTAATCCATCAAGTTTATTAGGCATATTAGAGACAGGAAGCAGCACTGGCAACTTTAAACATATGAATTAACCAAGACCAGCCATGCTGATAAACAGTAAAAGCCTCATGGCACTGCAACAATTCAGTTTAAGCATGGTATGTTAGAGGGGATGGGGGTGTCTCAACAACCACCAGGACCCAACAAATGAAGTATGTAAGGCCCATTTTAGCAAGTATCGAGTTGCTATTGCACTGCTATTTGAACAATCCAGTCAGATATACAACTGGTTGCAGATACCACAGTGCTTATTCACTAAGGAAAATACATCTCATTTGTCAAACTGACCATGCTCACCAGAAAAAGGACAGTGTGCCCTCCTCAGGATAAGCAGATCACTGCACCTGGAACAAGAGAGAACTTGAGAGTGTGTCAAACACAGCAGCTAAGTGAAGCATCTCAAAGAACACTGTCCTGCAGCATTTTCTCCCCACAGAGTTAATGGCAATAGCACTATGGGTAAAGCTATACCACAGAATTGATCTTTGAGGCATTTCCAACGACATGACTCTACTGTGAGGGGCCAGTCGGGATAGACCTCAGTATCACTCATTCATATTAACATGCATGCTTACCGATTACTCACCATTACAAGCAGCTGAAGCATGTTTCCCTGCATTTATATCCTTAGCTGCAGGCCTACATTCTGTAGATATATCTAGGAAGAGACAGCATGCTGCAGTAAGAAAACAGCTTTGACTTCCATAAATACTCTTCTAAAAGTTTAGGTGATTGTTCAGAGAGGCATTTCTTTCATGGTCATAAGTGCAGTTGAACATAAAAAGCCAATCATCATTACAGATACTGACATAACGCATTACCTGCTGAGTATTACCTGATAGCAGTGTGAAGATGGTGGCTGATATCTACCCAAAACCTGGAAGGAAAGTTCAATTGACAATTAAGGCTTTTCAATAATGAATGACATTAAAAAAATAAAATTTAACATAGGAAAAAAACAAACAAACAAAAAAAAACAACCATGTCCATTCTCATAAGTAGCACCGTTATTGTGTGAGCACAGCGGTGAGTTGCAAGAGAACAGAGTTGTAGTCTTTGCACTGTACTAGTTCCTAAGCCCACCATTTCTAGGCTGTGACTAGAACTGTGCACAATTGTAAAGCTCAGTTCAGTTTTGGGAAAAATGATACTGAGTATACAACTAATACTAACCGACGTTTGGAAGAGAGTTTTTTTTTTTTTTTTTTAAAAATCATACCAACAGCTTAATTACTGGCCAGCCAAACAAACTAAACATTTCACCAAATGCCTGCAAAACAAACTCCTTCTCTGGAAGTAGTGTCAAAACTTTAACACGCACCAAAAATCTGATTTGAAAATCTGATTCAAAATAATGGCTTACTTTCCCCTGCCAAAAGTAAAAACAAGTTTAGGAACATAATGGCATTGCATCTGAATTTTGCCTTGAGTAAACGTTTAGTGAAGTCAAAATGAGAAAATTGATCCTTTTGAGATGAAGCAAAAATCTGATAACTACATATGTCTGCCAGAAACAGGTGGGGGGGGAGACCTTACAAAAACTGGCATACATGCATAAGTAGTTAATGAGCTGTATTGATCAGACGTATTTATTAGGTGTACTCTTTGTAACGTTTTTTAAAAATGAACCATCAAGTCACTCCTTTATAAGCTTAAAACGGTCTCCTGTAATTTGCCTACAGAGTTGATGACAGCAGAACTATGCACGCCTCTTGGGGACGCAATGCATCTTGGGCGTTGAAGTTTTTAGCGATGCACACCCAGACAACCGTGCCATAAAATCTCTTTCAAAACTTGGCTGAGAAGCAAATGCAGCAAATAATTTATACCAGAATGGTCGACGCTGTTAACTGGATCGAACCTCCTTATCGTAATTAGACTCCAATTTCAGCACATCATTTAGCATTTGCATACAGTGAGAAAGGGTCCTCCACTTACCATGCTGCTGCTCCAAACGCACCAGGCCTCCAGCAGAAAGGGCACAGTCAGCCATCCTGAGGGAACAAAAACGTCTGCATATGTAAACAGAGACAAGCGCACTCTCAAGATACCACTTAACAAAATTAGTTTTTATAAGATTAAGGCGAACAAGGTACTCTGGACGATATACCAGGCCTCATTGTCATCTCAGCAATTAGGCGTGCCGGGATGAAAGCAAACCTGGACATGATATAGCCATGCAAAGAAGAGGAATCTCCACGGTTTATTAGAAATCCCATATTCATATTGAAATACACGGCATTCAAATCGGATGAAGCACATCTTAAAACAACGCATACGCACTCGGTGACGAGGCTCTTGTTCGAATTTCCCCGTTCCACCTTAAAAGGTGCAGCAGTTACGCTACGTTCTGGCGCGCCAGAATGGATCTGTTGCACCATTTAAGGTGGAACGGAAAAATTCGAACAAGATCCCAACGAATAAGAAGCTGATTCAGCGTGGCCAAGTTAGCTAGCGTTAGCTAAACAGGGTAACTAGCCACGTTAATCGGCTGCACGTTGTTTCAAGCATACATGTAAAACACAAACTTAGCCACACATTTCAGCTACACCTAAAAAGGCCCAGCTATCATTGCAACCGAAATATCAGCTTATTACAGTTATAAATGACCTAAAGAGCGACTTGGCTTCACCACGTGGCCGCAAAACAAGCAGCAATCGCTGAACACAGCGGCGGGGTCGGCGCTCCTAAAACAGCCCGAAGCACAGACATAACTTACAACCCTAGAATATGAATATCACACAGTACAGCAGACATCAAAAACACAAATATTACTCAGAGAGAGCACAAACCCGCCTCGCGGAGGTCCGCAGGAAAATGAGAGAGGGAAGATCCCTGGCATGAACTATCAAACGGATTCTACAACCAATCTGACCAATCAGAGAAGGACATGCAGCTTAACGCGGAAACACGTACAACGCATCTTACTTGATAAAAGTCTGAACATTAAATGGAAATTATTGATACATACACATCATACAGTGGGGCTCGCGACCTCTGCATCACAAATATGTTTTATTTACGACCAGAAATGAGCAGTGAGCCTACATGCGTCTTCTGTGTTTACATGTAATATTAATAATGATTAATATAATGGTAAAAAATTGTACATTTGAAAAAAAAAGGTTTTCTATTGCAAAGCAAAATACCTGGAATGACTTTGTTTGACAATTTAATTATGCAGAATTTTCCAAAGAATAGTGGAGTTTCCCTTTTACGTCCATATCTGAATTTTAAACTTTCCTGTGGTCATAACTTTAAACCAATCAGAATAAGACATCCTTTCCAGAAGCTCGTTTACTTTCTCTATCGAAAGCCTTTTGGATCAAAACATGTTTAGACATGCTCGTTAATACGTTAATAAAAATATGCGCGTTAACACGTAAAATTTAGCCGTATTAACGTGACCTAAAAACACGTTTAAACGGTTTTTTAAGGTTTCCGCCAATAGGATGCCTCAAATCCTTACACACACGCATATTCATAATAGGAATTACTTCACACATGACAACCGACAACGACACCTAAAGCCTATGTGATCGTAGCCCCCGACTTTATGAGTCTGAAAATGAAATGAAAACCTGAAATAGAATGAAAACCTGCAGCCACACCATGACTTTGTGGATAAGACTGAACACCCATTTTGTAGCAATGCTGAAAATCTGACTGAATGTTGACTGGTGTGCCTGCACTCCACTTTCACTCTCTCATCTCTGAGCTTCTCTTTCAGCAATTCGTCTTTTCAGAATTTTTCCTTACAAATCGTTTTTTTATACTTGCTAAGGATTTACGTTTCTAACCGGTGTCTGGGTGGTGTCATTAGGCCTCTGCCCTCACCTTAGTGAACATCAGTGGTGACCCTGACTGTCAGAGCTAGGTCTTCAGTGTAGGCCATAAATCTCGTTTATAACATAGGTAATAAGTACTAAAATGGGATTATAGTATATTTACACTCTGAAAATGGCAGTGAAAATATTTTTAGCTTAAAATATTTACATTTGAACATTATTATACTGAATAATAATGAACCAGAAAGCTCTGATGGTTCCTCACTACCTTACATACTATTAAATTTTAAAATATATCACATTTTCTAAATTTATTCTATTTTATTAAATCTTTCCTTCCTATTCACAATCACCATTAAACACATTAAAACAAAATTACTTTTAAATAGCATTGATTTTCAGAGACTAAAAAAATGTTTTCTAGACAGAAAACTAAAATTGTGATTACGTATATTTTAAAAAGCTCATTTAAGTAATCACAATATTATTATTTTATTATACATTTTATAATTCATGGAATGATTTAGGAACATTAACGAATTCTAAATTTGGCAAAAGTGTAAACAGGCCACTTGGCACCATGGTGTTTTAAAACAATTCACTTTATCAATGTGTTTAATTAAAATAGCACAAAATTAAATGTAATTGTATAATAAAAAAAGTCTCAAGGGCATAAATATCCCAAACCTTAGTAATCTAAATTAAAAACCTCACAGTAGCATCCTAATTAAACATCATTAGTGTGAGACAACGCAGCCTCGGGTACGCGATGCAGACAATTAGTGAGTGAGTCATTGAAGAAGAAATCAGCACTTAAGAAAAGAAAAAGAAAATTTTTATTTAAAAAGCTGATTTTAGTTTTCCTATGGGCTACTATGCTTTGAAGTTATAAACAGGTGGGCCTTGGAAAGTTTGAGAACCAATGCCTTATAGCATAGCATATAGCTTATGTTGAGGGTTTAAGGGGGAGCATATTAACTTTTAGAGCGAGTGAGCCACGAGGAATCAGAGGAATTGTGTTGGAAAGAAATAGGTTTGCTTAACTGTCTTTTGAATTGCAATAGTACTTTAAGAGAGACGCCCAAGACTTGCTCAAAAGGAGGATGTAGATGCTACTCATGTTTTACACGCACAGATAGTTTTGGACAGGATAACATAAATTCAACGTAAGTGTATATACAGTGCCCTCCAGAAATATTGGCACCCCTGGTGAACATGAGCAAAATGGGCTGTAAAACCCATTCTGTATTGCGTATCTATTTGATATTTCATTCAAAATATTAACAAAAAAGCTTAAACTGGGCCATAGTTTGGATCTTCCAACAGGACAATGATGCAAAGCACGCCTCAAAATCAACACAAAAATGACTCACTGAGCACAGAATTAAGGTTTGGCCATTGCCACCCCAGTCCCCTGACCTAAATCTGATAGAAAACCTGTGGGATGAGCTAAAAATGTACAGTTTACCCGTTTATACAGCCTAGTTCATGAACGGCTATAAGACAAGAAATCCAGTGTAATACAGGATCTTCATCAACTCTGGACAGTCATTCTGTCGCGCTGTCGACTGGCCTGATCTGATCCCTCCCCACCTTCCCGCCCTCTCTCTGTCACTCTCTCTGTCTCTCTCTCTCTCTGTCTCTCTCTCTGTCTCTCTCTCTCTCTGTCTCTATCTCTCTCTCTGTCTCTCTCTCTCTTTCTCTCTCTCTCTCTCTCTCTCTCTCTCTCTCTCTCTCTCCCTCTCTCTTTTTCTCTCTCTCTCTCTATCTGTCTGTCTGTCTCTCTCTTTCTCTCTCTCCAAAATATACAGTTTGAAGGCTGAATCCAGGGAGCTGATGGGCAGCAGGGCACTCACTAAAATTACATTATTAATTAAGCAATCTGTGAGGTTTTTTTCTCTTAAATGAACTTAATTAAACAGTAACACCCTCTGCACAGTCTTTCAGTGATCCTAAAATACTGTACTGGAAACAGACAAACTAGGACATCTTATATAATCATCTAACCATGAAATACATGCGGTATAATGTAAACCTTGTTCCTTACACAGCTCACAGAAAGGTGTGTAACTGTGCTCTAGCAGAGCGAACTGTGATAAGTCTCAGGTCTCAGAACTTCAGCTTTAGTGTTTTTCTGTACAGATTATTTCCAGTGATGTAGCCGAGTAGCTCAGAAATATGTTCAGGTTGTGACAGCGGAAATATGAAAAAGTAACTAAGTAACTCATTACTTAAGTAGTTTTTCAACAAACTACTTATTTACTCTTACTTGAGTAATTTTATTTACTAATACTTGTACTTGAGTAAATTATCACTGCACTAACAGTACTTATACTCGACTAGTGATTTTCAGTACTCTTTACAGCCCTGCTGACCTCAACTGAGAAAATATAATATTTGTCAACATAATTGAAATTCTGTCACCAAATGTATTGAATAAGTATACAGAGCAAAATCACACTCTTTCTGACGGCACCAACTGAGACTGAACTGATCTATAAGGTGTGTGTTTGAATAACATGTTTAGGACGTTGCAGCTGATCTAAGAGAGAGAGAGAGAGAGAGAGAGAGAGAGAGAGAGGAGAGAGAGAGAGAGAGCACTGCTGGACTTCAGTACCTTTGTTTGATCTGTGCACAGATATTAATAGAGGTGTATTCACTGACTGGCCACTTTATTAAGTCCACATTCTTGTTTCTATACTCATTGTCCACTTTATCAGCTCCACTGGCCATATAGGAGCACTTTGTAGTTCTACAGTTACAGACTGTAGTCCATTTCCTTCTCTCTATACTATGCTACCCTGTTCTTCCGTGGTCAGGACCCCCACAGGACCACAACAGAACAGGTATTATTTGGGTAGTGGATCATTCTTAGCACTGCAATAACACTGACATGGTGGTTTTGTGTTAGTCTGAGCTGTGCTGGTGCAAGTGGATCAGACACAGCAGTGCTAGTTTTACATCATAAAGAAGAACCATTTAGCCAATCAATGATTCATTTATTCATCCACATTGTTCTTACTGGACGTGTTCCTGCTGACCCTGAAAGTGTTCTGAACCAGCAAGCTCAGGTTTCCAATAAGTTGCTGTTGTATGTTTGCTATGATTGTGCTGAATGCTGAACTGAAGTCTATGAACAGCATCAGTGTCCTTTCTGTCCAGGTGGGTCAGTAAGAGGTGCATGTCAGAGGATACAGTGCCCTCTGTAGACCGCTTAGGACAATTTATTAACTGAAATGGATCCAGTGTGGAAGGAAGACTGATCTTTATGTGTTTCATAACCATCAAAGCACTTCATGATGAATATTGTATTTATTTATTACTGTGGAGGGTTCAAAGAGTAAACATTCTTCATAAACAATGTGTATCACAAAGTTCCATACAGCTCTGTCTCTGCTTAAGAATCCTCTGATAAAGAAAACAGAAATTCACTGTTTAAACACAGCAAGACAGACCAGTTTGGCAGGAGCTCCAGTCGTCACCTCTTCAGGCTGATTTCCTCCTTTAGCAAGTGTGAACCGTTAGTTTGCCACCTCCAGTCATGACAACTAACTGTTGCAAAAATTAGTGTATGACAGTAAACATTAAGGCTTCTCTCATGAGAGTTATTGGTAACGGTAACATGCTGTTATATTAATGAACAATATCTGTCATAATAACTCTGCCACCATCCCATGTTTATGGCATGTTTATGTTATGCAGCAAGCTTCAAGTAAAGCGATCTCATCAAAATAAATAAATAAATAATATTGTGATCATTATTGTGTAATTTTGAAAGTAAAAAAAACATTATGCTTAATTTACAATATTAAGTGTATAGTATTAAATATAAAATATTGGTGGTGATTATTATTGCAGTCCTAATCATGTCCCTTTGATACAACCAACTGGATGCTCTTGAAGACTTAAGGCCTGAATACAAACGGGCCTGATTGTCTCTGTCTCAGATCCTGATTTTACTATATATTAGAGAGAATATCTTTTGAAGGAGAAACACATCAGTTATTGGTTGATTTGATTCAATTGTTGATTATGACTCTGCTGTGTTGGTTCTCTCTCCCTC